GATGATGAATGGGTCGAAGTCCTTAAACCAGGGAAGATACGTTTTCGTCGACTGAAGTTGAAGTATTGCCATGTCCTTATCCGAGAAAACGCGCTTCGACCAACCTCCCTTCTCATCCTCCGATAAATTTTCTGTTGAGGCAGGGTACGCCACTGGATCCGTCGAGCCGGTGCGCACTAGAGTCTCCGACACCACACGTGGTGACCCATCTTGAGCTGAAGACGGTTGGGTTCCTGTGTCTGAATAGGGGGTTGGCGCGGAAAACTGCGTGTCTAAGTAGAGCAAAGGGAGAGATAGCAGTAGATCCGTTCCAGATTGGTTTGATCAGGGCTGTGTAAGCGGCTGGTTCAGCAACTCGACAGCCGACTCTGGCGATACGTTTTCCTTCTCTTCCATTTGGAAATGACACGTGTAGTGTGTGCTAAAACTTCACTATACAGGCTACATTCTGAGTATGTATCGGAGGATGAAATAAGTTTTGAAAGGTGTAATATTGCAAACATATAAAAATTGATGAACTTTTACACCTGTTTAAGCAGATTTGGCGGGTTATTCAAAATAAAATCATTAGATTTGTTATAGAATCTGCATTATCTGGTAGTTCGGACGCTTCGAATAGATCCAAGGCAAGGCAACCACCGTATGAAGGTCATGTGATGATATTTAGCGAGCGTGCCAATTTCGTGGACACTATTCTATCATATTTCACGCAATGCGCATGACAGCCTTCTACTCTTGCACTTCTCGTTAGCGTTGTTCGGCTTCAAGTCGCAATTTCTCATCACGCTTCGCCTCTTGCTCCGACACCTCAGCCCGGTGACGTGGTGGTACAACTGTGAGTGGACGAGATAGGGATTTTATCCGCCCTGTGAGACGTAGCGATGAGGGACACTGTACTGACCCCGTCTCCAGGCTGCAAACCAGTTCTTCCTCTACCAGTGGCAGCTTGAGCGTCGACTCTTCCTCCTCGGGCATTAGTTCTTCATCGTCGTTCCATCTTCTCGATTCATGAGCTTATCGTTTACTGCACTGGCTCGTGCTTACAATATTGCGGAACTGGGCAAACACGACGCAGTTGGGTGCTCCGGTTAAGGGGCGTCGCTGACTGTAGCTGTTACAGGCATCGCGGCGGCAAGTGCAATGCAAACGAATGCGCGAACTTCCTCCTTCAGTTTCACTGGAGCGCAGGTCTTCGGCGAAGACCTCATGAGTTCAGACATCAGTGCGATGGTCCGTCGAATTGGCATCATATTCTTTGCCTGAAGGACGTTTGGACAGACAGCAGCTTATAGTAAACTACAGATTTCCTACCAATAAGTAAGGATGAATACGAATGAACTTACAGACGAAACGAAAATGTGAAGAATCATTACCAATTAGTTTACTACCAACATTTTCTTTTCTTGCTACACGAAGTACTACTACTACCATATTACTATACTTATAGGGCATCTTTGAGAGTTAAATCTTGAAACAACACTTGCTTTAAACATGAAAAAATAACAAGTAAGTTGCAGTCAACAAACATTCATTCAGCCAAGGCGTGGAAACCAATCATTCATCAATAGAGGATGTCACTATGCCTATCATGCGTAATAATATGTAAACAAAAGGGCATATATGGTTGCCACACCTCCCTTTGAAAAATGGGGAATGAAAAATGGGGAATATCAGCCCATTGTATGTACCCAATTTATAAAGCATAGAAAGATTACGTTAGACAAGGTGTCACTCATACATCACTACATTTTTGTATAGGATTGTGTGGAATCATGCTTCTGTCCCGCTAATATACAAAAAAACCGTTATTTGTATTGTGCCACCCCTTTCTACTTGTTTTTTTGTATGCTTACAATGACGTCACTACATGACGTCATTCTTTGCTAAATGTTTTTACGCTTTTTACGGGTTGTAATTACGTAACCAATGTCGCCTATCCGTCATTTATAACAAAATATTGGAATTAGAAACACATCACCCTCCCAGAGTCCTC